TTCAAAACTATCATAAGCTTACACAGAGTTTATTGTTCCTCAACAGTTTGAGACTAATTTGCGATTCTGTTACTATGTCACCCCTATACTGTAGTATATTTTTCTTACAATCAAGGACATTCTCTTTTTTTGTGTGTGGTGCTGGGGATTGAACCCAGAGCCTTGTGCATGCGAGACAAGCATTCTACCAACTGAGCTAGATCTCCAGACCCAAGGACATTCTTTTTTTTTTTAATTTTTTATTGTTGGTTATTCAAAACATTACATAGTTCTTGATATATCATATTTCACCCTTTGACTCAAGTGGGTTATGAGCTCCCATTTTTACCCCATATACAGATTGCAGAATCACATCAGTTACACATCCATTGATTTACATATTGCCATACTAGTGTCTGTTGTGTTCTGCTGCCTTTCCTATCCTCTACTATCCCCCCTCCCCTCCCCTCCCCTCCCCTCCCCTCTTCTCTCTCTGCCCCCTCTACTGTCATTCATTTGTCCCCCCAAGGACATTCTTTATAAATAAACTATAGCACAATCATCAAAATTGGGAAGTTATTATTGGTACATAACTATAATGTTCAAGAACCATTCAAGTTTCATCAGTTGTCCCAATAAAGTGTTATATAGCAAAATAATCCAGTTTAGAATCCCCTGTTGCATTTATTTATCATAGCTGTTTAATAATTTCCAGTATGGAAGAGTTCCCCAGTCTTTATTTGATTTTTATAACTTGATACTGTTAAAGATTATAGACCAATTAATTTGTAGACTGTGCCTCAGTTTCTGACTAACATTTCTTCTTAATCAGATTTAGTTTACATATCTCTGGCAGGACTATCACAGAAATAGTGCTGTGTTCTTAATATTAAATTATATCAGAAAGTTCATGCTTTCACATTGATATTTAAAGTAGTATCTGACAAGTTTCTTCTCTGAAAATTTACCCTTTCCCTCTTTGTAACTGAAGTGTTTTGTAGGGAGGTACTTTGAAACTATATGAATATCAATTTTTTAAAAAATGTGTTTATTTTTATATATTTAAATATCAATATAAATTTAGTTTATTATTTTATTCAATGGATTAAAAACTGTGACTATCATTTATTTTGATGCTCATATTATTTTTTTGGACAGCAGGAGTCCATTTAAGCTAGTTTTGACATGTCTTTATAGTATTTTAGCATTTTTATGATTTCATTTTTTAAAAAATATTTGTTAGTTGTCAATGGGCCTTTATTTTATTTATTTATGTGGTGCTGAGAATTGAACCCAGTGCTTCACACATGCTAGGCAAGTGTGCTACCACTGAGCCACAACCCCAGTACCCATTTTTATGATTTCAGATAAAAATAAAATATGTCAGAATACCTTGTACTTTACATGGTCTTTTCCTGGAATGAATCATTTCTCCATGTTGAACTGGTTCCTGTTAGTGGAGAAATGGTATGTAGAAGATAAGATCTGAGTACTATTATACACATTAGTATGGGGTATCTATCACTTCTTCTGACCCCCTGAATACAGCAAGAGAATATGTGTATGTCTTTATATACATATGCACACTTACAATTATCTTATTTCTACATCAGTTTTTATATATTAAAAATCATGAATTCATACCATGTCCCACTGCAGTCTAAAAGCTCATTGTAGTTTATTTCCTTCCTGTAAATTAGACCTTTCTGTTCTTTCAGTGAAAATTTTGAAATTTCATTACTTTTAATATATTTATTTATTTGATAAATCACCATATGTGTAACCAGTCAATCATTCTGCTGTCCCTTCCTTCCTCTGGTGGATGCCTTCCTTTCCCTGAGTAGAATCTGATACCTTGAGATGGGATGTCCTATTACATTTTTTGGCCTTATTCATATATTTTGCCTTAGCCGTCTTTTTGTTCTTTCTTTTAGTACTGGGGATTGACCTAAGGCTTCATGTATGCTAAACACTTGTGCTACCACTGAGTTACATCCCTGGCCCTACCCTACTCATTCTCTGACTGCCCACAATAGACTCTCCTCCTTCTCACCAGAAATCATTTTTTCATCATTCAGGCCTGATAGATACCCCGTTCTGTAATGCTATAGTCATGACTTCCTCACCACTTCTTCACAGACTCCCTACTTTGTTCTGCCTCATCTAGTGGGTTTAGGATTGAATTTTTTTTTTCAGAAAGAGAAAAAGATTAAACGTTTTTAACATTGTGTTTCAGGGACCTTTATTTCCAATTAACATAAATCCAATTAATGGAAAATTAATAGGAAAACAGTTTTTCTCTAAAGAAGTAAGCATTTTAGCTATTCTTAATTTCCATAAAATAAGGAATTACCATAATAATAAACATCTGTATGTCATTTTTGAGATTATCTTCTGTAGTTAATACATTAATTAGTATCAGTATAGTTTTATTCTTATATTAGAAAGACAGCTGTATTTGACATTATAAAGCAATTCATATGTGATTTTTAGAATTAAAAAATGAAAAATTAAATATAGCATACATAAAAAGATTGTATGTCAATCTAATTCTATTACTTTCAAACTTGACATGTTTAAAAGGAAGCCATAAAATCCCCCTTTTTTCAATTGCATATTTTTTCAGTTCACTTAACTCCATCAGCTACAAACACTGTAGTCCTTTCACCTAGATTATTGCAGTAGCCGGTTAACTGGTTTTCGTTCCTCAACTTCTGTTCCCTTTTACTGTTAACATGACATCAGAGTGATCCTTAAAAAAAAAAAAAAAAAAGGTCAGCCTATGTTACATTTATGCTTGGAACTTTCTGCTTCATTCCTTGTTAAAACCTAAATACTTATCACATATTATAAAGCTTGCAATGATTTGGGTTTTTCTGCTTTCTCTTACCTGTCTCTAAACTTGCCTTTGGCTGTTCTTCTCCTACCTACTTCCTCCCAACCACATGGGTATCCCTGCTGTTCTTTAAACATACCAAGTATTGTCCCCATTAGGGCCTTTGCATTTGCTGAAATACTCTTCCTTCTCTCCAAGTCTTTACTCAGAAGTTGCTTTCTCAAAAAGGTCTTTCCTGACCATCCTATGTAATCTTCTTCCCTGATCTGTTATTTTTCTTTAGCACTTATTAATATCTAATACACCATATGTTTCAACTTATTTATGATATGACTTACCCAGAATTTAAATTGTGCAGGATTTTTGTGGTTCCAGTGTATATCTTCATCAATGTTTTGCCTACAATGAACATTCAGTATTTGTTGAAGAAATGAGTCACACATAGTCAATTCTACTAAAATGAAATAAAATGATCAGCTCATTCATGAAAGTAGGCTAACAATTTAATTCATAGGAAATGTGAAGTAATCATTGTATTTTTGTTTAAAATTTAACAAATGTAAATAGGGTTTAAGAAATTGAGCACTTAAATATGTAAATCAATGGATGTGTAACTGATGTGATTCTGCAATCTGTATATGGGGTAAAAATGGGAGTTCATAACCCACTTGAATCAAAGTGTGAAATATGATATATCAAGAACTATGTAATGTTTTGAACAACCAACAATAAAAATTAAAAAAAAAAAGAAATTGAGCACTTATAATGGCTGGTTGGAGTTTAACTTGGTCAGTCACTATGTAGTTAACTATTATGTAGCAATTTTTAAAAGCCTATGAAAATGAACAAATCTCAAGAATTTCACTTTTTTCAATTTGTCCTGCTAAAATGAGTAACTACAAAATTCTAGGTATAAGTATGTTTATTTCAGAATAATTCATTATACTAAAAATGGAATACTGGGTAAAGCCATACAAATGAGAACAATTAGGTAAAGTTAAATTAATGTGTATCCATTGAAAAGTTAAGTTGAAGTTGGGTGAGTTGATGCATGCCTGTAATTCCCAATGACTCCAGAGGTTGAGGCAGGAGGATTGCCAGCCTCGGCAGCTTAGTGTGATCCTACCTCAAAACAAACAAACAAAAACAACAACAATAAAAGGCTGGGATTTAGCTCAGTGGTAAGTCAACCCTGGTTTCAATTCCCAGTACCAAAAAAAAAAAAAGGTTATGTTGTATATTTGTCCTAGAAAGCCATTTATTACATATTAAGTTAAAATAATATTTATTATCATCACTTCCTTCTGAGCCTCTTTTAAACTATAAATGCATAGAAAAAGGTTGCTAAGTTGCTGAGGCTGGCCTTGAACCTGCCTCAGCCTCCCAAGTTACTGGGATTTCAAGTGTGTGCCACTGTGCCTGCTAGTTATCACTCTTTAACATACTTTTTACTTATATTTGTTAACCAACACTCCCTCTAGAAAGAAAACATTTTGCGGGGGTTTGTGTTGGTGGTACTATGGATTGAACCCAGGAGTGTTTTGCCACTGAACTATATCCCCAGCCCTTTTTATTTTTTGAGACAGGGTCTCACTAAGCTTCCTAAGCTGGCCCCAAACTTGGGATACTCTTCCTTCAGCCTTTAGACTCTCTGGGAGTCTCTGGGATTACAGGCATGCACCTACTTTAAAGAAAGCTTCTTAAGAGTAAGGGCTTTGAGCTGCATGCAGTGGCGCACACCTGTAATACCAGTGGCTTGAGAGGCTGAGGCTGGAGGATCTTGAGTTCAAAGCCAGCTTCAGGCGTTAAGCAACTCATTGAGACCCTGTCTCTAAATACAAAATAGGGTTGGGGATGTTACTCAGTGGCCAAGGGCCCTTGAATTCAATCCCCAGTACCTGCCCTGCCCCCCCAAAAGGGGCAAGAACTTTTGTTTTGCTTGCTGCTATATCCCAGGAACCTAGGAAAAAGTCTAGCACATACATATGCTATGAATATGTGTTGAATAAAAGAATGTATTGTTTTTGTTATAAGGAAGAGGGTTATTGTAAATAAAATTTTGAAAAAAAAATCACCAAAAACTGTGCATAGAAATAAGTGCCTAATTTTACAGCATGCAGTTTTGATACCACAGGGAATTTGTGGTAAAGAATTTTAATGAGATTTTCCCTCTCTATTTTTCAAGGTTTCTAAATATTCTTTACAGAAGAAAGTGAGTGAAATGGTAAGAAAGTTACAAAATACCTGTTTTTTTTCACTTGGATTAGTACATAAGATGCATAGTAATTTTGTGAATGTAAATGTGATATTTATAGTAAAAAATGGAATACTTAAAACTGGATATTGCTGTCCCCTGTAAAGATCTGACATAATTTAAATACTGTATAATTTAAATTATTTTACAAAGTTACTTGCAGATTACATGGTATTTATATTTTATAGAATAAATTCTAAAAACTATTATTTTAATGATTTTTTCCTACATATTTATGGAAAAAAATAGTTATTGTAGACTGAAAAAATTGAAATACATATTGGGGTATGGCATTCATCCTTTAAAGTTCTACATTTAGAATGCAGAACTCATTATTTATTATTCAACAAGTATTTATTGTGAATTTCTTTTTCCTTATATATAAAAAACTAATATTTTTGTTTTATAGCATAATATTTTATAGAATATTTACTTTGATATTCTCCTTTTCTAGTCCAATTTATTCAGAAGTATTTTTTGTGCATGTGTTGTTGAACAAAATTCTTTTATATCCACTTAAATCTTCAAAAGACTTCTTGAGTGGGTTTACACTATTTCAGTCTTCATTGGAGCAAACTGTAAAGCAAGAAAAATTAATTTTTGAGTATGGCTTATATATATAAATATGGGTGTGTGTAAGAAATCAGAGGTCATTCCTTATGATATTAAATATAAAAACATAAAGTAAGTATTTTGCTTCTTTAAATTGTTTTGGTCTGTTATAAAATAAAAGAGCCCATAGAAAGATTGCTAAGCTTGATTGAATAAAAGATGTGAAAATTCTGTTGCTGTTCAACTGGAAAGAATAAAATAATATTGTCAGACTATTTTAAACTGTGATTTTAATTAAGAAGCTGAAAAACTAGATTCCACTTTAGCTTTAAGTACCATGACATTTGTTCTGAAAGTCATCTTCAACGCTACAGTGATTTTACACAAAATATAGTGAAATTGAATAATGTGCCCTTTGACCTGGGAGATAAGGCTACAAGTTAAAGATCAAAGGCAACAAATGTGTTTTGTTTTATTTCAGTTTAAAATTTGATTAAACAGATACTTAAAATCTTAAAAAAAACCATGGAAACATGTATTTTACCTATTCTAGTTTTTGGTCATACTTCGAAGCTTTTTGTTATTGTGAATTATAACCTCTTAACATACCAAAATTAATATTTGAGTTATAATATTTTTTCTGATAGTTGTTCAAAGCATTTATACCATTTTTCACTTAAAGTAATTAGATATTGATATGTATATTTAATATTCCATGATCACTCTGGCTGAATATTTATATTTCTTATTTAAAAGTTAAAAATAATATTTTTTCTAAACATTCTTGGATATATTTATCTTACATTATAATTCTTTTATTATTATTTTTTTCTGTTTTTATATAATTTACATCCTTCTTTTCATTCAAAGTTAATCTTATTTTATTTGTAGTGGTACATTATTCTTTTATATTATTTGTCTTTATTGGTACGACAAGGTCCAAGATAGCCACTATAATAGTGCCAAGGAGAGACTTTGGGAAGCAATAAAGTCAAATGTCTTAAAACAGATTATTTCAGAAAAGTAGTAAGCAACTTTTAAAGAAGTTCATGATCTGCTATAGGTGAGCACTAAACTACTACAAATTTCTGTCTTCTAGGAAGTCAGTAAATTAATTTTCTTATAAAAGTGGTGATACATTTCTAGATAAATTAACATATCATACATAAATCAAAAGATTTGTTCATCCCTACCCAAATCACCCTTTGGAAAAAAATCATAGACATTACCAATAAAATAATACAGCAAAACATGTTAAAGAAAAGCTTTAGAAAATTGAGTTAACTATCATTGTGATTTGGTCACTGAAAAAAATCTCTCCTGTTGTTTGCAATAATTACTGTGCAGATAATATATTGTGTAACTGAATTTATTGGTGGCTGTGTTGTATACCTGTGTAAGTTAATTCTGCTTATTTAAGGAAGTAAAAACTTATCAAACCACGTTTAAGTCATATTTATTTCTCAGATTTTTATTAAAGCAAAATTTCAATATTGAAGCTTTTGATATTATTGAGAATAATCATATTTTCTTTCAGAGTAGAATGTTTTTAGACTGAAGCCTTGTCTAGAAATAACTTCAGGATAATAAATATTATGTTTATCTGTACACATGTACATTAGCAGTGTAACTTACTTTTGTAAGTAGTATTTGCCTTACATCTTTAGATTAGAAAGGTAAAACTATCTTAAGATTAAGATGCTTTTGCGTTTTAAAAATTGAATTTTATAACTCCATTAAATTAGTTTGGGTTCATATTGAAGAAGTTAGAAGTTGCAAAATTGAAAATTAAGAATACATGAAGTTTATCTTTGGATTTTTATCTTTTCCTCTAAAATTTATTTATAGCTAACTGTTTTAAGGAAGTTAATTTTGTCTCCAAAAATTAATTTCCTTAAGTAAATGGGAAAAGGGGGAAATTGTACAGCTAGGTCTTTTATTAGTAAATGTATATTTAAAAATCATGTATAAATATTATTTTGAAATAATACTATTACTATTACTATTTTAAATGCATCAAGGCAACTTTATGTCTCTGCACACATATACACACACATAATTATGCATATGTTGTCCTCTTTTCTAATATTGATTTTAATAGGTTATATTTGTTTTAAATTAGGTACATATGTGTTTAGAAAGCAGTACATCTGACATTATTTTCTTGGACTAAGTCTTGCATCGAATAATAAAATTATATAAAAGAAAAAATAATTTACATCAATTTAAGAGGTAAAAAGAACAAAACCAATATGTACTTAACTATTAGTCATCTCAGAAATCTCATGAAATCAAAGGGGTATCAGTAGAGAAACGGGACTGGGGCGTGAACAGAGGGGGGAAGTGTTGGGGAGTGATTTGGCCAAATTATATTGTTATATCATATGCATGTACGAATGTGTAACAACAAATCCCATCATTATGTACAACTATAATGCACCAATAAAAAATGTGAAAAGAGAAAAAATTTAAAAAGAGAGTTCTTTTAATTGAAGGTAATGGGACCCTTATTGTACTATAAGTAGGATCCAGTCTTTTTTTTTTTTTTAACCAATTATTTCTCCAGTTTAAGTAGGTTTTCTACTCAACTATATTGCCTTTCTATCACAGAAATATTGTCTTTACCATTTCATTTTTAATGTAGTGAGAAGGTACTATATTCATTAAAATTAATCTCAGAAAAAATTACCTGAGTTGCACACCAAAATTATACTTGCAAATGAAGGCACAAAGAATCAAAACCATGCTCTGGTTAGGTGCTAATTATTCATGTGATTTAGACAAAGAAAAAATGATTTCCTAGGGTTCTAAGACTATTGCTTTAATATCTTCCTACTTTATTTATTGTTAGGCTGATTAACTTTTTATAAATAAAAGTTGATGTTGAAAAAGAAAGAAAAAGACATTGTAAACAAAAGAAATATAAAATGAAATTGTCTATATTTATTCCAGGGGAAAGGAAAGTTTGCTTTAGTTTTATACAGATTTAGAAATATCTGCTAACTAATCATTTTTTTTCTATTGTGTACTCAGCACTTTTTCATAACTTTTATTTTTGGTATATTATTAACAAGAGTTGTTTACCACTATATATATATTTGTTTGTGTGTGTGTGTGTATGTGTGTGTGTGTGTGTGTGTGATACATATAACATTTATTCTTTAAAATAGGAACAAAATGTCCAGTTACATCTTTTGGCTAAAGGTGATTATCATAAACAACTGAATGAAATTGAGAAATACTATGCTACAATAACAAAACAATTTGGATTGGTAAAAGAGAATCATGGAAAGTTAGAACAAAATGGTAGGTGCTATTTTGTTTAAACTTACATGTTCAAGAAGGAATATTTAAATAGATTTTATCATGAATAAATTGAATTTACTTGACATTAGTAGTAGTAAATGGCACTTTAACATTAAATTAAATAAAAATTATTTAAATTACATTGGAACTGTTTTCCTGTCTGTGTTCATGGTATTTTCTTTGAAATATATGATGAATATAATATTTTCCTAATGTCTTTGATGTTACAGTACAAGAAGCAATAAAATTAAACAAAAGACTTTCAACTTTAAATAAAAAACAAGAATCTGAAATATGCAGTTTGAAGAAGGTATGATTGATACAATTTTATAGTATTGAGTAAAAAAATTATACTCTAAGGTGGGTGCAGTGGTGCATGCCTGTAATCCCAGTGACTTGGGAGGCTGAGGCCAGCCTCAGAAATTTAGTGAAGTCCTAAGCAACTTAGTGAGACCCTGTCTCAAAATAAAAACAAGGGCTAGGGATGTAGCACAGTGGTAGAGTGCCCCTGGGTTCAATCCTCAGTAAATATTAATTAATTATAGTCTAAAATAATCAGTCTTATGGAATATTATTAGAAAACAGTTTGGTAGAATTTTTTGATAGAACATGATTCATAAATTTTGAATTACGATTCTAGTACATTTAATAATTAATTCCAATCCATTCAAAAATTGTTTTGACTTATAATCAGTGACTTGAATTTTTTAAGTTAATTTATTTATTTATTTATTCTAATTAGGTTATATATGACAGCTAAATGCTTTTTGATTCATTGTACACAGTTGCCACACAACTTTTCATTTTCTGATTGTACACCATGTAGCGTTGCACAATATGCGCAGTCAGACATGTACCTAGGGTAATGATGTCCATCTCATTCCACCATCTTTCCTATCTCCATTCCTCCTTTTCCCTCTCTCCCCTTTGCCCCATCAAAGTTCCTCCATTTTTCCCATGCCCTCCCCTGCATTATGGATCATTATCCACTTACCAGAGAGAACATTTGGCCTTTGGTTTTTGGGATTGGCTTCTTTGGCTTAGCAAGATCTTCTCCAACTCCATCCATTTACCTACAAATGCTATTTTATTCTCTTTTAATACTAAGTAATATTTCATTTTTATTTAATGCTGAGTAATATTCCAAAGTTTTTTTTATCCATTCATCTATAGAAGGGCATCTAGGTTGGTTCCACAGTTTAGCTATTGTGAATTGAGCTTCTATAAACATTGATGTGGCTGTGTCACTATATTATGCCAATTTTAAGTCCTTTGGGTATAGACTGAGGAGAGGAATGGCTGGGTCAAATGGTGGTTCCATTCCAAGTTTTCTAAGGAATCTCCATATTGCTTTCCAGATTGGTTGCACCAATTTGTAGTCCCACCAGCAATGTATGAGTGTGCCTTTCCCCCACATCCTTGCTTAGAGTTATTGTTGTTTGTATTCTTGATAGCTGCCATTTTGACTGGTATGAAATGAAATTTTAGAGTAAATTTTGATTTGCATTTCTCTAGTTGCTAGAGATGTTGAACATTTTTTCATATATTTGTTGATTGTGTATCATCTTCTGAGGAGTGTCTATTCAGCTTCTTAGCCCACTTATTGATTGGGTTGTTTGTTTTTTTGGTGTTAAGATTTTTGAGTTCTTTATAAGATTAGTGCTCTATCTGATGTGCATGTGGCAAAAATTTGTTCCCATATATATGCAGGCTCTCTCTTTACCTCATTGATTGTTTCTTTCCACTTAGAAGAGCTTTTTAGTTTGAATTCATCCCATTTATTGATTCTTGATTTTATTTCTTGTGCTTTAGGAGTCTTGTTAAGCAAGTCAGGTCCTAATTCAATGTGATGAAAATTTGGGCCTACTTTTTTTCCTCTATTAGGCGCAGGGTCTCTGGTCTAATTCCTAGATCCTTGATCCATTTTGAGTTGAATTTTGTTCATAGTGAGAGAAAGGGGTTTAGTTTCATTTTGCTGCATATGGATTTCCAGTTTTCCCAGCACCATTTGTTGAAGAGGCTATATTTTCTCCAATGTGTGTTTTTGGCACCTTTGTCTAGTATGAGATAACTGTATTTGTGTAGGTTTGAGTGACTTGAATTTTTATGGTGATGTGAATAGACAGTGAACATTTACTGTATGTCAGCTTCATTAGCACCATTCATTCATTCATTCAGTATTTATTTAGTGACTTATAGGTTGACAGCCAGTGTCTCCATGGAGGGTTTTTCTTCTTGTGAAAGGTGTAAGCCACCTGAGAAATTAAAGTCTAGCATAATTAGTGAAGAACAAAAGACAAAGAGTCAGAAATATGTTTTCCAAAGCAGAGCCCCTGATAGATCCAGTCCACACAAGAGCTGGAGCTAGACAAAAGAAAGTGGCTCCAGCAGTTTATTTAAGGCAGTACAACAAAGCCAGGGGTAAGGTTTCAAGGGTGGAGTCTTGCTTTTTGATGTCTTGCAGTCAGCAGGTTGATTGGCATCTTTTTCAGGTCACACCCATCTCAGGTGCTGTGTGGGAGATATGGCAGAGCAGAATAGGAATTCACAATATGTTTCTGGGTAGTCTTACACAGAGGAAATGTCCATAGGAAGTTCCCAGACACCAGATGTTCCTATTCACTAGGTTGCAATGCTGACAAAATTCACACACAGCCCACAGAAGGCTCACGACAATGACTTATATTTGCCAAGTACTATGTGCCACTAAGGACCCAACTATAAAGAAAATAAAATATGTTTCTACTTTTATACGGTCTAATGTGGGGAATTAGACAGAAAACAAGTAAATATACAGATCAAATAATTTAAAACTGTCATAAGTAATCTGAAGAAAAAGTCAGGATAGGATGACATAACAGGCGATTTTTATTGATTGAAGATAAAGGAGTAGAGGAAGAAAAGGAACAGTGTTTCAGGCAAGAACAGCATGTACAAAACCTTAATACAGGAAAGAGTTTAGTACATTTGAAGAACTAGAAGAAGTCTGGTATGGCTGCAGCATCATGAATAAAAGCGTCCATTGAATATTTATTGATTTGCTCTTTGAACACCAGTATCCCCTTTTCTTCTTCCTAACCTTATCCAAATTTTTGTTTTTGTTTTGCCTTCAGCTTTAGAGCTGAGCTTCAAATTGGCAGAAAACTATAAACATATTTCTTTCCTCTGGCCACAATCATTCCTTCAGGAATTAAAAATCAGGAAAAATGTAATCCCCATAGTGGCTACCAATCATGAGAGAAGCCAAAACCTGAGGAACTTAATGTGGAAGGCAGATTGGTGTGATATAAAGAAACCTGTTCTTCTACAACATGTTGAGTCCCTGCATTTTTTCCTGGTTCTAGACTTTTCAGTTATGTGAGCCAGTAGTCCCCATTAGTACTTAAGCTAGCTTGGTTAGGGATACTTGTTTTTCATTGTTTGCAACTATAAATATTCCAACTGATGCAAAGGGAGAGTTAGTATGAAAAGAAGAAATAGGTAAGGCCTTCTTTCTGTAGAGAATGACCTCTAATTTCCTTTCCCTACTCCCTTCAAAGCCTCATCTCAAATATACCACTTCAAATCATTTTAGGACTGCTTCCTTACCCCTGAGAGAATTAAGCGCCTATCCCTATTGATCTGAACATGAACAACTGAAAATGTTTTTTCAAAACATCTGTTGAGTACCATTTAAAATGCACTTAATTTGTAATTATTTATTGGTACACAAAATATTTTCTACTTTTTCCTGCAGTTCCAAAGTTATGCCTGGAAATCTTATCTATATGAATTGCATTAGTGGGCTTCCAAATCCTCTAGCTTCCTGTTGAGCAGGGCCAGTGAAGCCTGGGTAGAAGATGGGAGAAAGGAAAGAAAAGAAATCAGGGTATTTAAACCCTCTGATCCCTCTCTGTGTCATCACTTCAGGTTGGCCATGTCACTCACCAGATCACTACTTCTGTTGAATTAGCCTATTTTATACATTATTCCCTTTTTGAGTTCCAGTAACCTTCTTATTGTTTGCTAAAGTTGCAGACAGCTCCACTGGTGGAACAAGGTTGTACAATCTCAATCCTTGTGACTCTTTTATATCCTGTCGACACGTTTGCAAATAAACCATCTTCAAAATACCCTAATTTATATGTGCCATCTATTTCCAGGTGGGACTGTGAATGTATGCTTGGTCAGGGCATATCATTAGTGAGGCCAGAAATTATTAATTTAGTTTCTGTGTAGACTAGTTGATTCAGTACAGAGAAAATTCTGTTTCATGGTGAAAGATTTTTTATCTAGCCAGTTTGTAAAAATATATTTTGAATTCAAGGAATGAAAAAATATGAATGGGGTTGGGGTTGTGGCTCAGTGGTAGGGCACTTGCCTCACCTGCCTGAGGCACTGGGTTCCATCCTTACTTAGCACCACATAAAAATAAATAAATAGATAAAATAAAGATACTGTGTCTATCTACAACTAAATTTTTTTTAGAAGTATGAATGGTGCTATTCAGATGTATCATAAATTTGAAGAACAATTATTTCTACTTATTTGGGTTAGTGTTGTCATCTTAACTCCAAAGCAGTCTGCTCTTTTTTTTTTTGTCTGGGGGTGGGCTGCTTTAAGTACTAATTTTTTTCAAAGTAAATGCTTTAGGTAAAGGATTCTGCTTTGAAAGGAGAAAAAAGAAAAGAAAAAAAATCCCCAAACATTAATGTCTTCTTATATACATAGAATTTCACTATTTTTATTTAATATATTTAAGTTAATGAGTTTAGTTTTAAAGCAGTTTGGGGTCTGTAGCATAATTGAATAGCAAGTACCAAGTTCCCATATACTCCTGTACAAACATCCCTCACTATCAAAATTCACTAGTATCTGATGTCAGTCATTTTGGATTTTGGTTGTTCTAATTGGTGTGTAGTGGTATCTTGTTGATTTGCAGTTCCCTAATGACATATGATGTGATCATCTTTTCACGTGCATATTTGCCATCTGTATATCTTTGGAGGGATGTCTATCTTGACCTTTTTAAGTGTTGTTAATGGACATATAATAATTGAATATATTTATGGGATATAGTGTGATATTTGATAAATGTATTCAATGTGTGATGATCAAATCAAGGTAATTAGCATTTCAGTTTCCTTAGATGTTTATCATTTCTGTGTTAGGAACCTTCAAATTTCTCCCTTCTAGTTCTTTGTAAATATATAATAAATTGTTGTGAACTATTAGTCACCTTACTGTGCTGTAGAACACTAGAAGTTACTTTTCCCATGAAATTATATTTTGGTACCCATTATCCAGCCTTCCTCTATCTCTCTTCCTCCT